TAATTCTTGTTTTGCAACTAATCAAGGGCAAATCATTTCAGCCTCCCCAATAGCCTCCATCTCATTCTCAGCCTCCCTCTCTCTCTCTCTCTGTGCAACTGCAAACTCTCTCTCTCTATATATATATATATAGCTTTTATTTTATGTATTCATCTCTCTCTCTCTATATATATATAAATATATATTCTATTTTTCAAAACCCATATACAAGAATTAGAATTTCAAAACCCATACGTATTCCTCTCTCTCTCTCTCTGCAACAGCAAACTACAAAATCTACAAGAATCAGTTTGTTAAAAAAATCAAAACCCATATCGGCATATCATTTCAGATTGTTAGAAAAAATAAAAACCTATATCTATCAGTTTCCATCACCCGCTATTCCAGCTCAGTCGTCGTTCACAAAACTTCAGCTGGCTCTCTATCTCTCAACTCTCAAGCTTGCCCCTTATGTAATTTGTTCCATTTTTCTCCAAATCCCTCCAAATCTTGTCAATTTTGGAAGGATTCCAAATGAGGGATTTTGAGGGATAGTTATCCCTCTCAATCCTTTCTTTTCTCTCTTATTTTTTCCATCCAAAAACCCTAATCATTATCTTTCCCTTTCTTTTATCTTCAAATCCCTCTAAATCTTTCAATCCAAACGAAGCCGTAATGATTCTATCTGTCCTTATTTATGTTTAATTTAAACTTTTTTGACATAATGTACATCAACACCCCTTGAGGTTTGACATAAGGACAGGTAGATGAAAGTTATCCTATTTTTGGACAATCACACCCCCTCAAGTTTGATAAAATGGACAAAGACACCCGACAATAGTAAATTGACTTTATTACCCTTTGATATAAACTTAACAAATACAAAAGACTTAAATATCCTTATCCTCTTCTTCTCTCAAACCCTAACTCAAACAACTAATACACACACACACACACACACACACACACACACACACACACACACACATATATATATATATTTATATATAGTCTGTATAGGCACACAACACATACATACTCACACACATATATCATCACCACCACAATAAATCACGCACACACATATATCATCATCATCATCATCAATTCATCACGGTGACGAGCAAGGAAGATAGAACTGCCGAAAATTGGAGCCCGATCTTGATCTAACCCACGATAGTGCTCAAAATTGGAGCCTGATCTTGACCTAACCTACGACGACGTGAGGAGGTGGCTTCAAGACGACGGTGGCGATGTAAGACGGTGGCTTCAAAACGGCGATAACGATGTGAGATGGTGGCTTTAAGACGGCGACGGATTCTTCATCGCAACAAAGCCCCAAAAAAATGGAGCCAGATTAAATCTGTACCCATGGATCGACTGCAACAAAGCCTCGCAGTGAGTGAAACATCAATTGCCGTTAAAGAGGGTGAGCCGCTCGTCGGCCGGTGGTTGGAAGGTGTGGAGGTGGTGTCATGGCCGAAGCTTTCAGGTCTGGGTTGGGGGTGGTGGTGATTGTTGTGTGTATATATCTATATATATAGATATATTCAGTCGATATACCAACCCCAATTTCAGTCGCAAAACTCTTAAGGTTCCTATTTTTGTTCGTAAGTTTGATCTAGAAAACCTGTCTGTGGCTTGATTTCATCCTTCGCTCTGGACTTCATACTGCAACCCTCAGTACTTGACCACCTTTTTCATAATCATCGGAACAACAAAGGATTCCCAAACACTCTCGACTGGTTAAAGCAACCAAATTTGGGTGAAACAACAATGTTTATTTCTTTCGTTTCACCACTTATATTTTTAACCTGAGGATCTTCTTTCCATTTCAAATGGACTTGCAACCGATTTTTTGTCTTTTTTTAAAAGGGTAAAAGACAGCAAGATATATATATATATAGAGAGAGAGAGATGAAAAAGGTAATTTGGTCATTTAAATATTTTGATATTTTATAATTAAAATTAATAAATTATTGAAGGATAAAATGGACTTTTCACATGTTTTAAGGCTATGTTTGGATGGCAAATTTCACAAAGGGGTGTGATTATCCAAAAATAGGCTAACTTTCATCTGTTTGTCCTTACCTCAAACCTTAGGGGGTGTCTTTGTACTTTACCCTAATTTTTTTTTAACTAATTTACATTTTAAATTGATTGACCGCAAAATCAACTAACTCTATAATATTCTTCATTAATTAAGTTCATAAGTAATTAATTGTTATTTTTGTCGTTAATTTAGAGAGTAAGTAAAAAAATCCAATACTCCAGTCCCAAAAAAAATATGCATCTCTAACTTTTTACCATTAGTAACTAATACGAGGACCAACGTTTAAAAAGAAATATTTTAAATACTACCTTCGTCCTAGGCGACAATTAAAGTGGGATGAAAGTGAGTCACAGTTCCGGAAGGCGATAATTAATGCTTCGTTCGTTAGGAAGGAAGAAAATTGGATGGAAGGGAGATAAGAAGGAAAGGATGAGACATCTCTAAAGAAAAGATTATGAACTTCCCTCATTTTGTTCAGTTGGATGGAAGAGAAGAGAAAAACTTACCAAATTCCTTTGTTCATTACAAGAGAAGGGAAGAGGGAATTTAAAATTATTTTTATCATTATACCCTTCATTATTTTTTTTCCCTGTAAATAGCCATCATCTTTACTATGCATTTGAACAGTATTATTAATTTCACTCTAATTTGTTGTTTGCTTTATTTATATATACATATATAACTACTGTTTTTCGAACTAGGTGTGAACATGGAGTTTTTTTCGTTCTAAATATGTTCTAAAAAAATGTTTTATGGCATTGTATGGTTCTTTATGTAGACTGTGTATTTTTTCTTTTGAATCCTCTTTTTTACTAATAAGGCAATTATATAACAAACAATCGATATATATATATGTATATATATATATATGTAAGATCCAAATCTCTACCAAACAAGGGGTTCAGAGGTTGGGTTTCAAGGCAAGCATGGGGTACAAAAGCATGATAAAGGAGAACGTGTATGTGTGTGTGTGTGTGTGTGTGTGTATAACACATGAATCAAATTTGTTTGTAAATACTGACGATCTATATACATGTACAAATCGAGCAAGAGCAAGAGAGAGTTTCTTACCTGCGTGAGAGAGATTGCTGGAGAGAGCGTTTTGCGTGAGATGAGATATGTAGGGTTTAATTTTAATTAATATTTGGGAAGGATAATATTGTAATTTAGTATTTTTATAATAGCTCCAATTGTTTTCTCTCCTATCTTCCGCCCAAATTTGGGCGGATGAAATTTTGTAAAGAAGGAGGGATAAGTCATCCCTCCTATTATCCTTCCTCTCCGTGTCTCCTTCTTACCGAACGAAGGAATTTTGTTATTTCCCTCCTATTTTCCTTCCACCCTTCTTCCTTCCTTCTTTCCTACCGAACAAAGCATAAAGTGGGACAGAGGGACAAAAAAAAGCCAAACAAATAATTCCAAATCATATCCATTCACGTAAAAAAAAATAATAATAAAAATTGTGCGACAATTAAAGTGGGATGAAAGTGAGTCACGTTCCCGAAGGTGACAATTAAAGTGGGACGGAGGGGGAAAAAAAAAAAAGCCTTAAAGTAAAGATATAAAACAAATAACCCAAATCATATCCATTCTCTTTCTATATGTAGATGCCGTAGGGCTGTCTTTGCTAGGAGCAAAAAAAAAAAAAAAAAAAAAAAAGGGTTAATTTCACTGACATCCTCAGTAGTTTGGCCAAATATCAGTCTAAAACATCTTTCGAAAATATCTATCACTTAGGTCCATTTTCACTTTTTCGTTACTGCCTCCGTTAAAAACATGAGAAAAGACATGTTTGCCCCTAATTTTTTAATCACATTTATTCGAAAGAATTAGATAACCTAATTACTATTTAATGATTGAAATGGAATATTTACCCTCATTCAGATGACATATTTACCCTTCTTTGCCATTGAAATCAACTAACCACCACCCCTTCTATCTCTCTCCTTCCAACACGAAAACCACTCGATGACATCGGACGACTGGGTGACGGCGGCTCTGGCAGACGATGTGGTGGTGGCAGAGCTGTTGTTATCGATGAAGCATTCATCGCATTCTTACGCATCGCCGCCACTACTGCTTCCGCGCGCTCGGGTGGGGACACCGCCAGCAGCTTTCAAAGCCATCGGCGAAGAAAGACTGCGACTCCACGAGATGCAGCCCCACAACGCCGCTCCAAGAGAGCGGCGCCATCGCATCTCCCAGCGACGGCTGCGACGAGTCCAGCCGGTCCTCCAATCCCTCCTCCGCCGCCAGATCCAAGGTCTGTATTCGTATCTCTCGCACAATCTCACCTTCCTCTAATTGTTCTCCTTATCTCCGGCGTTGGGTCAGTTTCCAGCCACCTGTTATCGTGTGTCAGATTTCCGGTTAACTGAAACACTCTCACAAGTGAGGCTAATTATTAGATGGACAAGGGGATGAGGAAAATTGGAATTCTGCAATAGTGGGTTTGCTTGTGTATAATATATATATATATATATATATATATGTGTGTGTGTGTGTGTGAGGAAAATTGGAATCCTCTCCGGTGTTGGTAGGAAAATTGGAATCCTCTCCGGTGTTGGTGGTGGTGTTGTGTGTGTGTGTGTGGGGGGGGGGGGGGGGGTAAATGTGTTATTTAAATACTTAAAAAAATAATTTAGTTAGTCAAATTAAAGTCAAATGAGGATAAACATGTCATTAAGTGGGTCAAACAAAAGTCAAAGAGTAAGAATGTCTCTTTACATGTAAAAAGTGGTCTGACACACCTGTCAACTAATTTTTGGGGTGTGAGTGTAAAACGGAGCAAACGTTTGGATAGTTATTTTCGAAAGATATTTTTAGATTGATATTTGGTCAAACTATTAATGTGTTAGTTAAATTATCAAAAAAAAAAAAAATTGTGCGACCTTGATTGGTTATACAAACATTACTGTGGACTCGTGTCTATACAATTACAATTGGAGTTCAGTAACCCCAAATCTCTCACTTTAAACCAGCACTCGTCGTCGTCGGCTCTTCTTCTCTCTCCCCCCAAACCCCTCACTTTTTCTCTCTCTAAACTTGTCCGAATTCTCAACCCAATAGAGCTTGATCATCTTATCTTTCTCTCTCTAAAAAAAGCACCAGTAAATCTAGATGACGATGCCGGCGTCTGCCTCGTGGCAACCTCAGGAGGAAGGTTTCGCAGAGATCTGTGGCTTACTCGAACAACAGATGTCTCCGACTTCTGATAAGTCTCAGATTTGGCAGCAACTTCAACGATACTCTCAGTTCCCCGATTTCAATAACTACCTAGCTTTCGTCCTCGCACGCGCTGAGGTACTCCGATTGTTTGTTTCTTGAGAAAATTTGCTGATTTTCTTGGTGGGTTTGGGGTGTGATTGCTTTGATTGGGGTTTAAATGGTGCCTGATCATTGAAATATCGGTCCTTATTGTTGGAATCAAAATGGGTCGAGTTTATGATGGAGAAATGACAAGTATTCATATAATGTCCTTCATTGAGGCCTGAAAAAAGATTTGGAGTTGTAACATTTGATAGCTTGTGAACGTAGTTATGCTTTCCACTCTTACATATATATGTGCGCATCTGTGTGTCACTTTAGGCCAAGAAGGTTCTCACTTGAATTGAAAGTTCACTAGTATGTATAATGGCTTTAAGCCTAGGTTTGAACACGCAGTTTATGGTTCATTTGTTGGAGTTTTGATCCCTAACTATTATGATTATGATTATTTATTTATTTACTTTTTTTGGTTGCTTGGAGGGTGGGGGAGGGAGCCGTATGCCGTCAAGCTAGGAGTATTTACATTGTTGTGAATAAAAGAAACAACGTTTTATGGAAGCTGTGAAGCAATTTTTGCGGCAGTGCTGCTGTCGCAAATGTGGATTAGATTTTGGTAGTATTGGTGGTGGTGGTTAAGTGGATATATATATATTGATAAGTAGTTGGTAAGTGGATATTTTGATGCTATTGACATGAGGAACCAGTGCAAAGTTTTGATCCCGTGATTTTTTAAATTAAAAATATACTGTTAACCACTATGAAATATGTTTTCTTCAAAGTCTGCTGTCAATCCTTCGGTCATCCACTTGTTAGAATAATATTAATATATTGGCAAGTTCTGTTCTAAGGCTGGAGCGCTACTGGGTGAACAAAATGTCAAAATATTCTATGCCATACAATTTGCCAAGATTTGTCCTTGAAAGTCTGAGTTATGGAGGCGGAAGCTACTTCAGAACATCTTCACAAGTTGCTCCATGATTCTCAATTGCATTAAGCAAAGGAAGGAAAGACCTTAGAGACCTTAAGATCTAGGTTGGTGGTGGATTTAGGTAGATTAGATTTGCCTGGACTTTAGGTTTATACTTAATTGAATTATGAAAAAAAGATTTCTTGTTGAAAAATTAAATAAGTTTGGAAATAGTGGGACTTTTAACCGGCAGAACCATTTTCTGTACTTGTAGAGGAGCATACTGCTTTGAAATAATATTTTCCAGATTTGAGTTGCATACCTAGAAGGTATAGTTGTACCACTACCAATACAAAATGATTCTGATTTGAAATAATTTTGGACAGAATTAAGTTGTACTGTTGGGATTTTTATTGTACTGGTAGAATAGCTCGCTAGACTTTTTAAAATTTTGTCCAGAATACTGTTGTACCAGTGGAAGGATTTGTGACGTGGAAGCCTGTTTTCACAGGGATTTTAAAATTCTTATTGAACTTTAGCTTGTGAATAGGCTTTGGGAACTATAAATACAAGTTTTCTAGGATATTTTTCCATGGAAAAAAATGCAAAAACTTGAGAGTATATTTAAGAATACATAAAACCGTAGTTTTCCATGATTTTGTAAACTTTCTTCTTTCACAAGTAGGAAATTCCTTATATACCTTTATGAATACTTGTGATTGAGTAGAGAGCACAGAGCTTCATTATTGTTGATGTACTTCAGCTGGATTTCATCTTCCAATTCATTCTTCTTTGGTTTTCTTCGAAGGAGCATTGGATCATTACAAAGAGGGCAGATTTTTTGCATAGCAATTCTGTTTGACGTCAGCGGCTTATATATAAGATAGTGGGAGCGAGTATGAGATCTACAGAAACCGGACTCGCATGTGTAAGAGTTGGTAAACAGGAGTAAGCCTAAGATGGTCGGCAACCTGGTCTTGGCAAAAGTGACCTGGGCATAAGATTGAGTCAAAGTTGGTGTAACTATGCTTGATATAATGGATTGCTTTGCACTATACTACGGTCCAGTGGTTTTTTCTTGTTGAGATTTTTCATGTATAAAATCTGGTGTGTTCTCCCCTTTACTTGCTTCATGTTATCTTTTTGATTGGTTTGTGTGTGGTTGATTTGGGTTTCAATTGCTAATTAAATAAAAAAATTTACTCAGTCACTAAATTAAGCAAGACGACCCATTCACCCCGCTATAGGTCTAAGGAACCATTAAACAACACTATATCAACTAGCCACTTTTGTATAGCTCAACTCACACAACTAAATGATGGTTTCATGGAGATATGGTTCTTACTCAGACGACAGATATTTCCGACTTTTGATTAGTCAAGATTTTGGCAGCAACTCCAAATACTACTCCCAGTTTTCCAATTTTAAGAAAATTTACTTGCTTTATGTTATCGATTTGATTGGTTTGTGTGTGGTTGATTTGGGTTTCAATTGCTAATTAAATCAAAAAATTTACTCAATCACAAAATTAAGCAAGAAGACCTATTCACCCCACACCACTAAATGAAGGTTTCATGGAGATATGGTTCTTACCCAGACAACAGATATTTCCGACTCTTGATAAGTCAAGATTTTGGCAGCAACTCCAATACTACTCCCAGTTTCCCAATTTTAAGAACCACCTCGCTTTCATCCTTTCACGTGCTGAGGTACTCTGATTGTTTTTTTTTTTTTCTTTTTTTTCTTACAAAAATGGCTGACTTTCTTGGTGGATCTCGGTCATGATTAATCTGCTCGGTGTTTAGCTGGTTATGGTCATTAAAAAGTTAGGATTTACAGTCTCGACTCATTTTGGGTAGACTTTATGTGACGATGAAGTGAAAAATTATCTTTTCTGTTGTTTTATGTTCTCTTTCTATTTATTTATTTATTTACTGGGGCAACGGTTAATAACTGGATAATGGTGGACTTGATAATCAGTTTAAATTATTCTATTCTGCAAGCGTTTCATCATTCATTGCTGTTCAGTTGATATATAAGAACTAAAAAGTTTCTTTCTTTTAAATTTTACTTTTTCTTTAAAGTTTTTATGGAGTTGTAATATTTGATAGCTTTGTAAATGAATTTAAGCTGTCAAATTTTCATTGCAATTGAAAATTTTATGCCGATATGGGACAAGAGGGTTCTCAATAAGTAAGTAGATGCTTTGAATGGACTTACAAAAAAAAAAAAGTAGATGCTTAGCATGGGATTTTTTATTATATTTTTCAATTATAATTCACTTACACTTTCAGTTTAAAAGATCACTAGTACGTGTAATGCCTTAACATTCAGGTTTGACTATGTGCCTGTATAACTGTTATGATAGAATGAACTGGCTCATATTTTTTTTAATCTTTTTCCACTGATCCAAAAATACACTTCTTTTTGGCGTCTTCAGTAATTTATGCCCAGTTGGTAGGCTTTATCTTGTAGTTTGTGGTTTTTGGGGGAAGAGAGGTGGGGGTCTGTAGTGTATGCTACAAAATCTGAAGTAAGAGTATGTTTGGTTAATTGTTTGGGAAGAAAGAGACGCTGTTTTGTTGAAGAAAATATGCTATACTGAAATAATTTTAGTGACAGGGTTGACTTGGTGGTGTTGATGGTTGTGAAATGGATTTTGTGATGCTATTGATGAGAGGAAGTGGCACAATGTTTTGTGGATATAAGAGGCCATTTCTTGGTGCAATGGTAAATGCTTGAGCTCTCAAGTATGAGATTGGTGATTTGAGTTTGAGGGCAATGTCAAAGATTATGTACAGCCCTGTGGATGTTGTGGGCCTTGTGGCCCGAATTTTGTTTCGACAAAGTGTCCGTGGGGCAGCGTCCCCAGAGAAAATGTAGCCTGGTATACAACTATATAAGGGCATTTAGGGTTTGGAGTAGCAAATGAGACAACACAGAAAATCACAAAAAAAGAGCGAGAGCGAGAGCGAGGGTTTGTGGGCTGAAACTTGTAAACTCCTGATTTTCGCATAGTGAAATCTTTTGCTGGATCTTCACTGTGGACGTATGCTTAGTTTTAAGCCGAACCACGTTAATCTTTGTGTTCATTGTGAGTAGCCTCTTTACTTTTCTTTCGCAATTCTTGTTTTGTTCTTGGTCTGCTGCCCTCCCTGCTCTGCTCCGTCAATTAACGGAGACCAGCACAGTATTTTTCTTGTGGATATACTATGAAATGAATTTGCACACTGCCAATACTTCCATATTTAAGTAGACTTTTTTTTCATTTTCCTTTACGTAAATTAAAGTTTGGTAATTTCTAAGCAGGGTAAATCTCTGGAGGTTCGGCAGGCAGCTGGATTGCTTCTTAAGAATAACCTCAAAACTGCATTCAAATCCATGACTCCTGCATACCAGCAATACATAAAATCAGAGTTGTTACCTTGTTTAGGAGCAGCAGATAGGAATATCAGGTCTACAGCTGGGACCATTATAAGTGTTCTTGTTCAGCTAGGGGGAGTTTTTGGATGGCCTGAGCTGCTAGATACCCTTGTCAAGTGCTTGGATAGCAACGAATTAAATCACATGGAAGGTGCTATGGATGCTTTGTCCAAGGTAAGTCCCGGCTTTCTAAATCTGTGCTGTATTCTTTATTAATTTTTCCTTTTTATCTTCTTAAATAATACTTAGTTTAATGAGTTCTTATTGCTATAACAATGTCTTAAAGCTTCTTCCCTGTTGATTTGTATGGTTAAACTCCTTTTCTTTGTGCTATCTTGATGTACCCTATCTGTTCAACTCCTGCAAAAGTATTAAATTGATTTATCCGCAACTGTATTGCAGTGACAAAAGCTACTGGCTGGTCAATATTTAGTGTCATCCAAAAATATTCAGCAGTTAAGCATACATTGCATATCTTTTTTTCTTGTTGACAAGTTATTAGAGAGGACGGAACAATGAAAAACTTATATACTAGCTACAATGGGATATGCAATTTGATGTTAGATTGAAAGATCTATGGGTATTGCATGGTTCTACTCTATAAGAACATCATATCATTTTCTTGAAGCTCATTCTCTTGCTGCAAACAGGAGGCCTTCTAAAGCGACTAACATAGAGGGAAAGTTGAAAGTTGCCATAAAATGATATTACCATCAACATGTATTGTGAGACAACTCCTGAAGGATTGTTCTGTAACCCTACACTTTGATAGTCAAAGTACGTGAAGGCCTGAACTAGATCTAGAGGCACATGAGTAGGTCTTGAAATCAAATTAAGTACTACCAACTTAAATATAAAATTAAACTAACTTGAACTGAATATTAAATTATTTACTTAAATTTAAGAACATAAAAATAACAAAATGCAGTAATATAAACTATAAAATATCCTCACACATGAATGCCAATTTTTATTTGGAGAACCCTATGGGAAAAAAAACCGCGGGACCTAATCTAGACATATCAATTCCACTTCAGGAAAAATAAGTTTTCAAATCTAAGCTATCAGAATCTAATTCTTATAAGCCCCTACTTACCTCTGATGTAGATTCACGCCAGACGTTCTCTTCATACTGCCATTCAACAATCCGCTTGTTAGATGCTCCGTTCTTCAATTACTTGTAATTCTAGGATTATTGATGACCAACACTTAACATACAGTCAATATCTATATGCATGATGATGAATGAAAGAAACAAAATCGAACCATATTGTGGATTAACATGAGAAAATTGTAACCATTGAAGAAATCTAAGCAAGTATCTCAAGACAACTGTAGAAATTTTAGAGCTTACGTTGGTCAACTAATTCAAATAGGTGGAATATTGAAGATAAGATCAGGACCATTACCCAGAGGCAATCTACTGATATGTTGAGAAATCTAATCTGGATTGATCAGAGGAAACTGCTAATGGCCGTTCTAAATTATACTCGAATGGAAAGCTTTCTTATCAAGCCCTTTATAAGCATTAGCCCCAAAGATTTGAACCAGAGATCTACCCTCATACCAAGGATCATATAACGAGTTAAATGAGGACCCACTGTCAATTCTATAGTTCAATTAGCTAACCAAGAAACCTCTGACCTCCAGAATCTTCTTCCAAGCTATAAATGCTTTTGCTTAACAGCGACATTCCAGAAGGAAGAAATGTTAAGTATCTAGATTGGAACCACGCCACCCAAAGCTTGTCCTTTGTTGCATGAAGTCCCAGGCCATAATACACTTGGCTGAGAAATCAATCTCATTTTCTTTCCTAATGCCAAGTTGCCCTTTAACAGTAGGTGTGTTGACTTTCTTCCAGCTCAGTTGATGCATCTTGTTAAAATCTTTGTTACCACCCCAGATGAAAAGCTTCAGTTTTCTCCTAAGCTCCACCCTACGAGGCCAAGGAATTTTGTATGCAAAAGCCCAGTAGTACACATAGGAAAGGACTGCCTTCACCAGTTCAACTCTGCCAGCCAAAGAGTTTCAGAGAATTCCAATTTGCAAGCATGGCATAAACTTTATCTAACAATTGATTAAAATTTGATCCTTTTAAGCCCTTGTCAGAAAGAGGAACACCAAGATAATGGACTGGAAACTAATTAAAAAAAGTAAAAGAAAAAGAAAAAAGAAAGATAATGGACTGGAAACTCTCCAACTCTGAACTACAGCAACTTCTTGATACTTCTTCTTCTTCTAACTGATCTAGAGAAGATGAGAGTGCTCTTATCCTTATTAACCTGCAAACCAGTTACCTTCTCAAACTCAACAAACACCTCATTAAGGGACTTGACGGTAGAAACATCAGCCTTCACAACGAATAATAGATCAGCAGCATAAATCACATTGGAGAGCTTCAAACCAGTTCTGGTGACCGACTTTTAGAGTCTCAAACCTCGCTGAGTAACCCTATCTTCAATTAATTTTGAAAAATAATCAGACACAAGAGTGAACAAAAGGGGACAGTGGACAACCTTGTCTAAGCCCTTAGAGGCTGAGAAAAAGTTAGTGGGAACACCACTAAACAAGATTGAGAATTTAGCAGAAGTGATACTTTCCTGAATCCAAGAAATCCATCTATCCCCAAAACCATATAAGTGCATAACTTTGATAAGAAAATCCCAAGATACTGAGGCATAGACTTTACTCAAATCAATCTTCAAATCCATGGAAGGATCATCTTTTTCTGTAGCTAAACCCTTTGATCAGATCTGAAACTAACAAAAATGTTATCATGGATCCTTCTAATTTTTTTTTTGATAAGTAATAATAACATAAAAAAGGCGTTCAAAAGGGGAACGCGTCCCTTATACAAGAATGGAACCGGTACTAAGGCCCCAAAGAATCCAAAAAAATAATTAAATCATCAGAAGAAGAGCAAGAACTCCTCTTCACATAATTGAAAAGAGAATGAAGAATGTGATGTTTCACCATTGCCGTAGACGACTGTTTATCTTCAAACATTCTACTATTTCTCTCCGTCCAAATGCACCACCAAACACAATGTGGGACAACTCTCCAGAAATTTCGTACATCCCTTCTCACACGACATCCTCTCCATACATGAATCAATTCCTTAGTAGATTGTGGCATTTCCCAACACATGCCAAACAACCCAAAAATAAGATTCCAACAGTCGTTCGCCATAGGGCAATGCATCTTTCTTGCAAAGACAACACCGATTAACAATACAATTGCCCCTTTTCCTTAAATTATCAATTGTCAAAATCTTTCCCCAAACAGCAGTCCAAACAAAGAAAGCCACCCTAGTTGGAGCCATGGATCGCCAAATAGTTTCCACAAGAAATCATGATTAACAAAATGAGACAAACATGAGAACAGGGATCTTACTTCGAAACGACCGTGGGGAGAAGGAACCCAAATCAAATCATCATTTTCTATGCCAACACCCTCCTGCCGATATAGAAGATCCAAAAAAACACATACCTCATCCATCTCCCAATCCTGAAAAGAGCGCCGAAAGTGCACATTTCACGTAATTCCACTGCTATCAAGACGATAACAATCAGCTACAAAGGTGTGTTTATCAACTGCAATACTAAATAATCTAGGAAATGAACGAGATAGTGGTTGATCACCGCACCAAAGATCTTCCCAAAACCGAACGCGACGTCCATCACGAACTTTGAATCTGATATGAGCAGAAAAGGGGTCCCAACCCTTCCGAATAGACTTCCACATCCCTACTCCTCCCACAAGAGTAACTGGACGTGTAGACCAGCCTCCATCTTCTTCCCCAAACCGACAGGAAACTAACCTGTGCCAAGGATGGTGTCTTTCCCTCCCATATCTCCATAACCATTTACCCAGGAGGGCTTGATTGAAAGGAACTATTCGTCTTATGCCAAGTCCACCCAATTTCACAGGCTTGCAACCTACCAAGGCCAACCAAGGACTAAATCACAATACTGAGCCTGTTAGCTAGAATCTTTGTGATGATCTTCTACAACAAGTTACACAGAAATAGGTTTATAATATGCAATCTTCATGGCATGCTTCTTCATTGGAACAAGGGCGAGAAAGATGAAATTCAGACCTAAAGGCATTTCTAATAGGGCTAGATCCATAAGTAGCCATCCAACTCCATCTACAATTTTTTTGTTTTTATTTATTTCTGAATTCTACCACACTTGTGCTCCCTAATTATGGTCTCTACCAAAGAAATAAGTGTAATTATTATTAACCAACCAATTTCTTACCTCATGCTGCATGGAATGCCTATTGAGGCCTCCAACATTCCAGCAGCCATCACCGAGAACTTTGGGATGGTGAATTAGCTTCAAAACCGCGCCCCACCCCCCCCAAAAAAAAAAAAAAAAAACTCTCAATTGGAAAAAGATTGTGTTATCGGTTGGGCTTGACTATCGGATTCATTAATCTCAGAATCACTAGCACTTGAAACTTTAGCAGCAGCAATATGCGCACTTGGACTTGCCAAATGATCTGCATTTACCATTGAATATATCATTAGAAACTGTGGTAGTTTCATGTTGACAAATCCTATCCATCTCCTGTGCGACATTAGTCTGATGCCTAATCTCATTAGAAAACAGTCAAACACCCTCCAGAGGGACAACCAAGGCAACATTATCAGCTTCATTAGAAACTCCCCTAAGAGAATAACCAATTCCTTTACTTATCAAAAAAGAAAAATTCTTCTTCCAGAACTGAAAATTGGTTCTGAAGGTCAGCTTCATTAATAGAAGCAGAAGTTTCAGGGCAATTATCCACCAGATTTGTTTGATCCTCTTCCACCATCTTCCCTTTCACTTGACCACTCACTTCTCAATCATTCGCCTTCAGCTTTAGGTTCAGCAATTACCTTCAAAGGGCATTTAGGGGCTAGTTGGGTAATTCGTTTGCAGTTGGAGCAAATTTGTGAGCGCCAGTCATACTCAGAATCAACCTGGTAATCCACTCCATGAATACTAACAGTTAACGATTCAGGAATCATCCTTCAAGTAAACTAAGGAGAAGTCTTTAGACTCTTTACACCATTGACGTTGAACATAGTACTTAATAAAGGATAATAAAGCTTATATCCTGTCACGTAACCAACAGCAGAGTTGCACCAATATTCAACTCCCTCTTTGACATCAACAACATTTGCA